TAACGTCCTACAGGGTTTCTTTGGATTGCCATCCCAACAGCATAGAAAGCTCAGGTGCATGCCAAACTACACTTGTATTACTAGGGGAGCGGGGAATTATAGAAGATATTTACCTAATATATGGACTTGTAATAATGGAACGAAGTTCTGAAAAATCCACCACCACCAAAACTACTCCAATACTCTCTCCAGGGTTGTCATACCACAGAGAGTTGGTTTGGGGTTTTTTTTTGGTATTGACGTGTTCCTGTTTCCTGTGATTGTTAACTAGACAACATCTCTCAGTATTATGAGCGATGATATCAACACTTCTCTACCCACTTGATGGATTCTAGAAGTGTTCTGAACATAACCCTCCTTAGTCTATTCCTGACATTGAGCTTCAGAGGGATCTTGGCTCCTTTCAACAGTCAAGTGAATTTCCAAACTGTGTATATATCATTGATGTTTCTCATAGTATATCATTTAAGAGTTATGTTTAGTTTCTTGTGAAGTTCAAATAAGAAGCCTACATATCTTTATCAAACAGAAGTAAAACATATTAAAAACATAAAATATATTCATTATTTTACTAATATTTACATATTTTAGAAGATATATGCCTGGATACAAGTCTTCAGGCTGGAATCTTGCTATATCACTATATAAAATTAAACTTCGGTAAGGAAATATATATATTACTTTCTTAAGTGAAAAAAGGCAAGGCTAGAATTTCATTTGCAGTGCTGAAAGATTACACATGAACGCTGAAGTCATCTAGGCTTTGCTCCCACACAAAGTTTGCTACGGAATATCTTGAAATGGAAAGGCTTCATAAAAAATGAGAGCACCTGAACAGTTTAAGTCAATCTTTTTCCCAGATTTCCAAGAGACTTAGTTTGGCAGAAAGATATTTGCCGATATGTTTGTTTGGGTTTTCTTATTTTTTTTACCGCTGATAATAACAGATGCTAAAAGGGCTGTAACAACATCTCAGTTTCCCCTCTGTCATGACTCTTATTATTAGTATTGCAGGAAAACAGCTGCATGCCAGAAAGGAGTTTTAATACACTGTACTCTCAAAAAGCTGCAATATCAGGAAAGGCAAATAAGCTCCTTAAGTATTTGATTTCAAGGGAAAAAAAAAAAAGAAAAAGAAAAAAAAGGAAAAGAAAAGTTAAAAGTTTACTTGGTAAAAAATTTCCTTGGCAGAGACAGGATTTCTGTTCAAAATTCATATAATTACTCTATGAGAGAGGGCTTTCCAGGTAAATGATGATTATATAATTGAAAGGTTCTGTTATGACCCCAGTGGTTTGTTTTGCACAAAGCCTACTGCAGTCTGAACTGTTTACTGCAGCATTTTGTCTTTTTCATCTGCATCTCCCTTTTAACAAGATGCTATACTAAAAAAAAATAGCCTCAAAAAAGGCCACAATTTCATTTTTCCATTCACTTGCATTGGCTGTAAGAAAGAGAATAAAAGTTATCTAAACCTTAAGTTACCTGCAACTAATTTTCCTTTAGCATTCATATTTATAAAATTATTGAACTAGTGTCATTTTTAGAAAAAGCAAACATGCAAACAACCTTTGTTTAACTCCTGCACCATGTGAATCTGTTGCAACTACTGACCTCAGGAATTCTCAATCATACATTTCTGTTTAACTTATTTCAATATTTACTTTATTATTGTGTCTTTGAAGAATCTAATGCTCTAGAGCCCTGTTGCAGCCATACATCATACAATAAAAATATCCATCAGAATGTATAGCAGGTGTGAAACACAAAACTGAGTGTATACAGATAGACAGATGGAGAGACTTGCAAAGAAACTGCAAGACTCCTTTTCAGGGTGAGAGACAGGAATACTAACATGAGAGAATACAAATTATTTAACATTCTCATACACGTTAATTTAAGGAGAAATTTAAATAAAGATGAGACATTTAGATATTAACAAGAAACTCCTCCTAAGTGCAGGATACAACATGTAAGAAGGCAAAAAAATGATTACTTGATAATTTAACATTATCAAAACCCAGAGTTGACATCTCAATACGTAATAAAAGATAGAATGGGTCAATCAGCTGCAAAGGACCATGAAAACTATGACAAGTAATTTATCTGATGTAATAGAGAAGAAATCCAAAACCCTAAAGCAACCTTCTCAGAATGCTGGTCTGGAATAATAATCTTATTAGAAGTCAATAGCATTCCAAAGGTATTGTACAAACCGATTTTGCAACTGTGTCAAAAGAAGAGGCAGCTGATACCTAGTTGAGTCATACTAACTACGTGCATGGAAAGATAAAGCTGTATTTGTTACATGTTAAGTAGAAAAAATGTGTAAGACTGTGGAAATGAAAACAGACACAGATCACATTTGCAGATAACCCTAGATAAGCGGGGAAAATACTGTTATAGAGAGTGACATAGGAAAATGCATAAGATGGAGGTAAAAAAACAAAAGTGAAGAAGTATAGTTTTCCCCATCTTGCTCTTTAGTAAACAGCTAAGTATCATATTTTGAATAGACAAATCTAAATATTGGTTTGGCCACATCTACAAACTGTTAACTCGGGTGATTTTGTCTCTGCAAGTGATGTTACCCAGAATGAAGCATAGCAGGAGAAAGACAAAAGCCCTTTGTCTTCCCCTTCTCTCATTTGTTTCCAGGCAGTATAAAGTTTAACTTATTTTCTGTCTTAAAATTACGAACAGAAAAATTGTCCAGGCAGCTGATAGTTAGGCCATTATTTTTGTTCTCCCTTCTGCACATTGGTGCCACTACAATACTCAGCCTGAACAGACTTCATGAGGTCGCTGTATTCAGGACCTAACCAGTGTGCAGAACTAGCTCATTTTCCCCTCAATTTTTACCGTCTTTATCAATCATTATTTTAACACATCATCAACAGAGGCAGAGCTCATGCATAGCATTTATCCACGTCTGTCAACAGGAAGCATGGAAGTTAATCATATTCATATAGATCATTTGCTCAACTTTCATAATTTATAAGTCAGCCAGATTCTTACACGCCCCGTCAAGCAGTAAGTTACGTTTGGCAATGGACTAGTTTTATTTCATAGTTGTCTTCACCATAGGTACTGCATCAGGAAGCATTTTAAACTCAGCAACACTGTTATTTGCAGGGCTTTTTTCACGAGCAGCAGTCTCAGTGTTGCAGTCCGAGTGATCTACCAGTGTAGGTACTTGTCATAGTTCGGCTGTTGGAGCCGTTTAACACTATATTGTGTATTCAGCACACGTGGAACATGCCATCTCTGCACAGTAAAATTATGGATGTATGTTTGGATACAGCATAACGGCCAAGGAAAGATAGGTCAAAGGTAACCTGTTCTTTATGATTATGCAGTCAGGTTCCCCCCTGAAACACTCTTAGTCTCCCTTTCCTTTTTGCCACATAAGTGGGAGTTTCAGGAAGATGACTGTTCTCACATATTTCATCTGTATTCTAATTTCTCTACAGATCATAAAAATGTGTCTGCAGAATTTAATTTTATAGATGGTCAAATAATTGGACAGCAGTTGCATACACATGGAAGGAATCATAAAAGTCTGAATTTCAATGCTGAGCACCCTCTATAAGCAGTAGCACCAAGGAACATGAGATTGTAGAAAAGGGATAAAAAGAGATCATAGGAGATTAGCCCTCCCGGCTGTTAAAACACTACATAACAGTGGGCTTCAATGTCACTCTGAAATAACCCATACGCTTACTTCACTTGATTCTAGATACTGGATTCAAAATCAATGTCCATAATGATTTTTCAGAGTATATTGATGTATTTTTTCCCTTTGGGATAGTTCTTTTTGATTTTTAAATCTGAAAAGCAAGGCAGGAAAAGACTAAAGAATTGCAAGAAACCAACTAACTCTTAGTCAAGGTCTAGATATAGAGATGCTTTTCCTAGTGTCTCTGAAAATGAAGAGAAAGAATTAGGGGCAATGCTTCTGTCATGCCAAGAGAAGGTTAATAAACAAAAGTCAGACATAAAAATCGGTTACAACAGGAAGGCAGTAATGCCAAGACAAGAATCTCTAGATAATGAAGCATAAGTCCATGTGTAGGATAGTGAATGGTGAATCAGTTAGCGAAGTACAGAGAAAAAATTGTAAGTGCAGTGGATAAGCTGTAAAAATCACTGCAGAATATAAGAATAGGGAAATATTATATGTGTGATAAGCTATACCAACAAAAAAAAAGGCCAACTCAAGCAGTGCTGACAAAGATTATTTGAAATATCATATCCTTGCAAAATCATTTAAGAGAGAATTCCCTACTCACAGAATAGCCTCAGACATATTGAGATAACGATGGAGGCATGACAGAAAGATCTAGACAAAGCTGACAAAGCTACTAAAAATTAGGTAGCAATTTCTTTTTTTTTTTTCCCCTTAAAATAAATTTCTCTGGTCTGATATTTCTCATGATCTAGTATAATTGCTTCTCAAACTTGTCACTTAGCTGCCTTCTAATAAGAAAAATCTTTGTGAAAGGTTTAGTACCCATAATGAGTGTTTCATTTGCAGTAAAATGCAAGTATTTCTGAAAAGTTTTATCAAAATTCAGCTTAGATTAATGTTCTTGACTATAAGTGTTTTTTTCCTTGAGAAACCATAGCAAGTGCACGCAAAACGGATTCAACCATATAATGCAGGCTTGTAAAACAAAGGAAATATTTTTGGAAACTATTTTATAGTCTTGGTTCAAACCTAAGTATAATTGCTTCTCAAATTTATCACTCAGCTCCCTTCTAATAGGAAAAATCTTCATAAAGAAACCCTTATTAGCAACCAAAAATATCAACAACAGAATTAAAAGTACAAATGACTGGAAATAATTTCACATCACTGTACCAATAATAATAAGAGATTGTATAAAGTGACACTTCAAGAACCTCTTTCCTACATGCATGGGATGTTGTAAGGGCAAACACTGGGGAGAAGGAAAGGAAGAGGAAGGAGGAGAGGAAGGAACAGAAGGTGCACTTACTGTCTGGTTATCTTCATACAGCTTCAAGTCATATCCACTCAGCTCCACACAGAAAATTATTGCTGTAACCCCCTCGAAGCAGTGGATCCATTTTTTGCGTTCAGATCTCTGTCCACCCACATCCACCATTTTGAAAGTCAGCTCTTTGAAGGTGAACTTATTTTCTACAATCCCCGTGGTCATGTCCCGAGAACGCAGAATATCTTCCACTGTAGGGATGTAGTCCAGTGCTGCAATCCTTTCCAGGTCATTTAAGTAGTATGCAGCATTATCCTCTAGGTGGTACTCATTGGAGCGGCAAAAGCACTCCTGCACACCAGGGTCTGCCCAGAGCCGTTTCATGACTCCCAGAAGCTCGGGGGTAATCTCGCCTTTGCTCTCGGCTGGGCCCGTCAGGGCAAAAAGCTGCACGGCATCATATGCTCTGTCAGGGTTGTGGAATTCTATCTTAAGGGTGGCCAGAGCCCGAATGATACGTGTGAGGGAGTCAATTGCATTATAGATAATCAGAGGTTTGTATTCCTTGCAAGCCTCCAAGTTAAAGCCACCACTATGGATGATTTTCATCTGCTTTACAATAGTGCTCTTCCCAGAATTGCTGGTACCCAGGAGAAGGAGCTTAATCTCTCTTCGCTGTCTCTGGCTTTCAGAGCGCAGGTGGCGGTCAATCCTACGGGACCGCCGCGCTGCCTCTTTCTCCTCAGAGCTTTGCCGACATCCCATGGTATAGCAGGCAGTTACGGAAGGGAAAAGTTGGAGATTGTCTCACTCTGCGTCTCTGAAAAAGATCTGTGGTGTCTTTCAGTTCTAGTGCCAGGTACACCTTGAATGAAAAAAAAAAAGTCGCTATCCAATACGTGATGGTCCAAGATGCCTGTACCACCTAATTCAGTCCCAGCAGGGCTGCAAACACATGTAGATATGCAACCACAGAAATAGTCTCTTCAGTAGATCTCATGGCACTCCCCTTTCCAGTGCATAAACAGTGGCACATTCCTGTTAATGAAGGGATGCTTTCCTTTGCCACAGTTTGGCTGGAGCCATCAAATACTCTTTTCTGTTTGGCATAATTATTTTGCTGCCTTCTGTCCAGAGGCAAGGAGCCACACTTTCACCTTCTCTGCTCTAGCCCTTGTCTTTTAATTGTATTTTCCGGTTGCTGTGGTGATGCTGCTAGATAAAGCTGAAGCTCTTTTCAATGGTGCTGTACTTGTTTCGTTTCTCTTCCCCCACTTCTTCAGCTGATCCAGTTCAGCTCTGTAAATCTGTGCTTTCCACCTGCCAATAAGAAAAGAAACGAATGAAATGAGAGACTGCGCTTCCTTGCTGCAAGCCACTTACTTTCTCCTCCTCTTCTAGACTTCTAAAACTTTATTATCCCAAATAGAAAATACAGATGGAAAAATATGTAAAGAAAAGCAAAAACTTAAAACCTCAGCAAAAACGTAGGGACAGCTGAAGCTTGCAGACCTAAGAAAAATGTGGTTTCTGAACAATAGTAAATCAAATCTCCCTTTCAGCCTTCTGTGTTTTATTATCTAAACCTACATGAAAACAAACAGTGCTGAGCTGTGCCCCAGTTTCTCCCTCAGCAAGAGCTTATGGCAGTGCTTTTCCTGCACAGTCCTGTTCTGGCTGGTTTTCCTGAAGTAGAAAACAAAACACAACTACTTTTCCCGGTCTCTCTATGTATATCAATATCTTTACTTAGACAGATGTCCTCCTGAGTTTTCTTTCATATTTTGTTCGTACTGAAAATCTAAATAACTAAATTGAGAAGCAAAAGGAGGTGATAAACTCTGCTCCACAATTTTATAAAAGGCAGATTTACTGATCTTTGCAGAATACAGTAACAGATCTTCTTTCCCCTTGGAGAACAGCACTGTTAAACAGGCTACCCGCATCCTGCTTAATCGATAAAGAGATGCACTACTACAACAAACCTCGTTAGCTGCTTCCCACAGCCAAGCTAGGTGTTATTAAGCCTCCTCTCTTCCATATTTACTACAGGAAATTCAGAGACGCAGTAGAAGTGAACAATGACTGCAAGGTGAGTGTTTCACACAAAAAGCACAGGAAATGCAGTTCCAAGCAAGGGCTGACAGCCTTTCAGTGACTGTTAGAGCAGTTACTGTTTCCCAAATTAGGGGTTAAGCCTACTAGTTGGAACTCTGCAGAAGGCAACAGCAGGAAGCAGTTACCTCTCACTGAGGGAAAACACAATACTAGTAGCTGATTGGTGACAACTTGCCTTTTTTCTAGGAAGGGCTTGCTGCTCTCACTAAGCTCTGAGCACAGTGGGCAGCAGAAGTCGCTACCTGTCACAGATGGTAGGCCTTCCAGTTCCTCATCACATGCTGGCCCCAGCCCACTTGTCTTGCTGTCTGTTTACTTGTGTCTAGAAGGTCTTCAGTGAGTATTTTTACAAACTAAACTACCTGCCACTGAAATACCTGCAGAGGTAAGCTTAAGAAAAATTTCAGAGCCTACTAAAGAAAATATCTTCCACTACACTGTAATGAGAATAAGTCCCTGAAATTCCATTTTCAAAGTTGCCCTAGAAGTCTTTTGAAGTTTTTCCTGCATGAACTTACTGGCATTTCAATGTAGATGCGACAAAGCATTAAAACACATATTGAAGAGGATGATTCCTCACTAACAGGAGAGGGATAGAATGATTCAAAGCCAGATGTTGAACATCTACCTTTTGTGAGAAAAGAAATTGAACTACAACTACCTGCAACCTCACGTAGTTTGCTTTCTCTCTTTCTTAAGCATCACAGCTTAAATCAGGCAAGTGGACAAAAGCTATTTCAGCATTCCAAAACAGTAATCTATAATTAAGTATTTGAAATGGAGCACTGGATTTACCAATAGGTATTTTTCCTTTCCCCGCATCACCTACATCAGAGGATAACATTCACTTACATAGATATACGGCAGGATGGGGTGGGTCTCATTCCTACTTAGCCACACTGCTTTGGTTGAAAAATACCAACTTATATTTATATGACTATTTTAATGTGTAACATGTATATTTATTAATGCATATACACTTAATAGTACATGTTTTGTAAGATACTGTTTTATTGTTCAGAATTTCAAGTATTGTTTTTGTCTTGCCAAAAGTCATTATCAGCCAGGGATTTTAGTGAGATCTTCCTTTACCGTCCCAGTAGCTGTCACCATGGTAGAAATTAATTACATCAAATAATAATTTTAGCTAACCTTTAAATAATGTTAATTGAGATATAGGACAGCATAGAGACTTCAGGGCAGGGGCTTCGCATATATAGATAAGAACAATTACATCAGCTGCTGTACTGAAAAAGGGTTATAAATCCCTTCCTAACTCTAACCCTGCTTAAGGGAGATACATAGTCGAACCAATGTAAACCTAGATAAAATTACAGCTACCAAGATGACTCAGTATAGGTCAGGCTTGGTACTCGTGTATTGAGGAGAGCATTATATTTTAGTTGGAGAAGATGAATAGACGATTATTGCAAACAATTGCAAAATTCCACAACTGGAATGTTGACCTCAAAAAAAGTGAACGCTCGAAGAAACAGCACATAGAATCATAGAATGGTTTGGATTGGAAGGGACCTTAAAGATGAAGTATACTGGTTTAAAGTTGCTCCAATATCCCATTCGTTCCTGTCTTTCCTTAGATTCCCAGAACATTATTATCTCCTTCTCTGGAGATGTTCAAAATCCATCTGGATGCATTCTTGTGATCTGATCTAGGTGGTCCTCCTCCAGCAGGGGGGTTGGACTAGATGATCCTTTGAAGTCCCTTCCAATCCCTAACATTCTGTGATATGCGTTTTCAGAACAGCAGCTTTTACTCAGTTCTGAAGATCTTCTATACAGTATTTCAACTTCTCTTCTTCCTTGCTCCTATTTAAACCTGTCTTCTCACTTCATTCTTTTAACTTCTGTGCTCTAACACCTGCCTGTAAATCCATCCCAAATCCACAAGCATAAAATTAATTAACTAGAACAGGACTTCTACAGTAACCAATTCCAAAAACTACCCATGACAATCTTATTCTCAGTTGTTCTAAACTAGTTACCCAGTCAGTACATCAAGTCACCTCTACCTGCCTGTATGGACCACAGCGTATAAGCAGGCTTTGCACTTTAAGCATTTTGGGTACCTTAAATTCAAAGATGTCTGAATCCTTTGCCCCAAGCGCACTGTGTATTGCTATTACCTGTCTAAAATTCTACAAGAGAGTCTTAATATCAGCTACATTTATCTTACTTCCCGTTGCACGTCAGAAGGACATTAGCACATGAAGAACAGATTAATCAGCAGAAAATCAAATTAGTAGCATACATATTAATAGAGCATAATAGAAGTAATTAGCACAACTTTACTTACTCCAATGTATCAAAGATGTAGAAAGGAAAGCCCTCCAAAATGAGGAGTTATACTTTCTTCAAATGGCTTTTTCCAGTGGTCATAGAAGATGAAAAATAAGAGTTGAGGAAGCTGTTTCATAAACGAGTAACTTTCGAGCCACACAGAATGAAATTACCATATTAGATATCAGGCCAAATAATTTTTTTAATTATATAAAAATTAGAGTTGGCTCCATTAATCATGCTTATTCCAGCACGTTCAGAACATTTAAAACTAGTTTTCCTTTAAGTCCTCCTCATCAGAGGCTCCATTTGCATGTCACTGATAAGACCACTGGTTGAACTCTTTGTGACGTTTTCTACACATCTCAGTGATCAAAGATGAAAAATTTTGCAAGATACACATACAGGAGTCCCTCTCATCTCTTTATTCAAGTTTCATCCTGAAAAAATGTAGCTTGCTAGACACAAGAAACAGGAGAATAGACATTCCTTCCAAAATGCATCAGTACTTACAATAAATCTGGAGATTTTATGCCCATAAAAAACAAGCAGATCTTTTTTAAGCTTTATTTATTGCCCTCAACAATTAGTTATGACAGAGTTTGTTAGAAAGACATTTTCAAGAAAAAATTACTCTTTTCAGACAGCTTATACATTCTGTAGAGTATTTCCTATTGCATGTTTCCACAACACATTCAGATGCATCTTTCATATCCCACAGTGTTTTACATATAAACTTATTAATGAATAGCAAGCAGAATAGTTAAACACAGAAAAGGAGAGAGTAGCACCTCCTCATTGTAGAGAAGACCAGGAGTATGTAAACACCATGTAAATGGGTTTAAACTATTGAATTTCCATTTTTTTTTGCCTTCTAGTCATCCCTATTGCATATATTGCAATGATATTTGTATATCACTATTTCAAGTAGGAATACAAGGTGATTATATTATTGCTTTGTAAAGCAGAGTAGTAGATATTATTTTCAAGTAGTTCTCTAGAGTAAGAAATTTTGATTTATTTAAATAAGTTTTCCCACATACACTGAAAAGCATCTTCCTTGTTCATAGTTGCTGCTTTTTAAAGTTCAGAAAAAGAATAACTTTACAAACTATCATGTCACTACATTTTACTGTCCTGGCTACATAAAGATGAATTTCCTCAGACCAATTTTACTTTTTCTTGCAACACACTCAGAATACAGTAAAATAAGGGAGTCTAGGAATTCATTCTGCGTTTTTTAGATCATATTTCATATTAAAAATGCAAGTGTTTCATGGCTGTAAGTTTCTAATGAGATAAAAGTCTTTGCAGTTACTCTATTGGAAAGCCCTACTGCTTCCTTTCATTGTGCACATTTCCCTCTAAACTTTGTTTAGAAAAAAAAAATCTTACTCCTTGAATGACCAGATTATACTGCATATGTGCATCTAAACTAATACATCTGCCTTCTACTGACAATCAAAGCAGCTCAAAATGTTAAGAAAATATATTTGTTAAATCTGATTATATATACAGGCTATCTTGTCATGACTAAACCAGGTAGTTTTTCCCACAAGACAAAATTAACATGCCCCAAATCCTGAGCTAACAGTGATCTATTTTGATTATCAAAGAGCAATGCCAAAAACTTCATTTTTGGAGTGGGAAGGTTACTTAAGCAAAATTCTGTGCTGGT